CTCAGGCAGAATTTCCATTTTGGATCCATCAGTAACGAACACAACACAATGAATTTGGTCTTTCAAAGATGGGCATTTGATGTAGCCCAGCGTATCTGGCTGCATAGCAACAGTTGGATTAAACTGAAAAGGCAGAAAGCAATGGCAACAATGTTAATAAAAGCTAGCAAGGAATCAGATTTTGATAAGAATGTGTTTACAAGTATCTACAATTCTGTAAAAATTAGACATGGGATATTCATTGTCCTTTCCCAGATTGGCGCAGCTAAACTATGACAGCTATGCACACCATGACCAATTAGTGGACCGGCCAGTTCAGGGGGAGGGACTTGACTGCCGTGGCACCTGTGATGCCAATATTTGTATCCCCAGTGATACAAATGCAAATATCCCATATCTAGTAAAAATGTGCTCTCTGTAGCTACAAATGGAATAATCAAAATAGGAACAACAAATTTATCTGTGCTCTATCTCTGAGAGAAGAAAAACAGAAAGGCTATATAACTCAGTATGTTCTATCTAAACACTTAAAACCTAACTCAAACAATTGTATATGCATGTCTTGTCTACTCCTGTCTCCTCTATTTCCTCCTTTTTGGTTTCTTCTACTGTTATATTCAGATAAGATCCTAGCAGCAGGCACTATAGAATGCCATACACTCGGTATTCATATAAGTGTCAACACCACCTTAATACCACATAGCAAGAGGGAAAGTATCTAAATTGGTAACATGCTTTGGGCACTGAGCCTGGAGGACACACTCAAAGTCATCCAAAGGCTATCCTATCAGGAGCTGGTGATAAGACAGCAGGGAATTGTGAAGAGGGACCAATTAAGACGTTTAAACCTGAAAGTGAGCCGTCCCCTCAATCATCTTGGACAGAAGGAATTCATGTGTTGAGTGCTATACGTGCAGTGATTCAAGACCTGACTCTAGAGGAAGATCAAGCCACAGGAGGAAGGGGGGGAGAAAAAGGCAGGAGTAGAGCAGCCAAATGGCAGAAGGTTTTTTTGGTGACTATGGGATTAGAGGGGAAAAAGCGGGAAGACAAAGGAGCTGGAGTTCAGAGTGGATAGCAACAGGGGAAGAGGAGAATGAAAAAGGTAGCCAGGGACATGAAAAGGAAGAGGGACCGTATGGGTTCTCATTTCCAAAAAGAGAGCACAAGAGAGGTGGCAGACCCACACGCAGATACGGAACGGCTGGGATAGAAGTTCAGTTGGGAGAGTTAGGCCTGCTAGGATGGACAGTGTATGTCTACCCAAGACGAAAGGGTCCTCGGAAGAAGGTGGTATGCCAAGACCCTATCCCTACTGGGGAGACACCTCGTGAAGGAGACTGGTCACATAACCCTTGCTGCAAGACGATTTGGACCGTAAGGAGCAACCTCTGAGGAAACTGACTGACCGGGAGAGATTTGGGACATCACCGCGCTGACAGAAAGTACAATGTGGATGGGACTGCCTATAACGTGGACTGGTTCACTTTTAGTTAATGGTCCCGTTGGACCTACTGAAGTTGTTGTGCACCCCTCCCCTCCTAAAGAGATTAAATGTGCTGCTAAGGATATTATGTCTCCTGTGATCAATCAGGTAAAAGAAGAGAAACTGCATAGTTTAGAATGAGAATCCAATCACAGCAATGTTGATCATTTTAAGTACCTTGTAAGCTTGACATTTTAAGTGAAGCAAGAACAAGTACTTCATCCTTAACAAATATTCATTTTGATCAAGATTAGAAGAATGAAGTTAAAAAGGAGAAGTGAGAGTACACAAGCTGGCTAAAAAGCTCCAAATAAACATACATATTTTGCACATCCAAATACTATGCCAGAGGCTTCCTGTGGCAACCACAGCCAAAATTCCAATCCAAACATCCAAGCAGGAACAGGTCAGCACTTCAAATACAGTACAGTGGTGCCTCGCTTAGCAATTGCCTCGTTTAATGATGTATTTGCTTAGCGATGAGGTTTTTGGAGCGATCTTGCGCTTCGTTTAGCAATGCTTCCTATGGGCAAATTTCGCATAGTGATGTTTGGGACCCTGCTTCGCTTAGCGATGACAGTTTAGGTCCCGCTGTTTCGCTTAACGATGGTTCTGACAGCCCCGTGTTTGCTGATTTTAAAAGGTTTTGAAATGTTTTAAAAGGGTTTAGAATGCTTGAAATCGTTAGTGCACTTAATAAACCCTTTGTTAAACTAATTTGGCTTCATTCTGACTCTTTTTGAATTTTTTGTAAAAAAAATTTCCCTCATTGAAATGCATTGAATAGGTTTCAATGCATTTCAATTAGGGAACTGCGTTTCGCTTAGCGAATTTTCCTATGGCGATTTTTGCTTAAGGATGGCAATCCATTCCCATTGGAACGGATTATCTGGTTTTCAATGCATCTCTATGGGAAAACGCGTTTCGCTTAGTGATGTTTTCCCTTAGCGATTTTTTTTTTTGCACCAATTAAAATCGCTAAGCGAGGCACCACTGTAATCTCTTTTGTGAAGAATTTGCCATTATGGCTCCAATATATTCTCGAAGGCTTTCATGGCCGGGATCTGATGGCTATTGTGGGTTTTTCAGGCTCTTTGGCCATGTTTTGAAGGTTGTTCTTCCTGACATTTCACCAGTCTGTGGCCAGCATCTTCAGAGGACTGGAATAAGAACAGAGCATGGACTGAGTTCCAACTCCACTCCTCTGAAGATGCCGGCCACCGAGACAGGTGAAACATCAGGAAGAACAACCTTCAGTACACAGCCAAAGAGCCCGAAAAACCCACAACAACCATGGCTCCAATACTTTTCACGGCTTCCTGGAAAGCCACTGTAAAACCACAGCTTTCATGCTACCACACTGTGGGGACAGACTACCCCCTCACATAAGCTGCTTGCCACCCAACTCCCATCCTACTTTCATGAAATCGGGTGGGTGGGTGACCTGACTCTCGGTGTGGGAATCAGGCTGTTTAAGACTTACAAATGATTATTCCTAAACCAGTGGCTCTTTAGTTCACCTGAGCAGAGATTCCTACACAAATGCATCTTTATTTTAAGCAACCTGTGGGCTATTATGTGATGCATCCTACTTGATATCTTTCAGGAATGTGTCCTTGTAACAGGTTGGTGATGTCGTCCATATCTAAACCAGCTCCTTGTTTTTCTTCTAGTCCCATAGTGTCACAGAAGGTGATGGGTAATGGCTTTCCGTTGCTTCCATTTTTCACTTGATAAGTTCTGTACTTTTTTTTTAAAAAAAAGAATTTGAAAATAGCAAAGAAACCAGTATTTAAATACATTCTTATCTACATTGCTTTCACTCTGCAAATATAAGTATCAAATACAGACACAAGGAGAAAGGTTTGGGGGATTTTTTTTAAAAAAAGCTCTGCATATTATCACAAAATAGACTAAGGGGCTCCTTTTATAAATTTTGAATGTGTTGACTACAGCACAACGTTTTTACTTGGAAGAAAGTCTGGATTTACAGCAAAATACATAACCATTAACACTGAGATTCAATTTAACCCAGTGATGTCAGCATGTATGTGAAATCTTTGAGCCTCAGTCCCCGAAACTTTACGTCTTCCTATACTGAATCTTATTTCTTTGTTTGATGCCTTTTATTCCTGTCCTCCTAGTTTGAGAAGATCCTTCCAGAATTCTTCACGGGTAGCTTGTGACATTGCCTCTGAATAATCCTGTATCACCTATATATCTGTCAAAATTTTTCCTCATAACAAAATACTTTGTTCAAAATGCAGCTAGTGACCTTTTACTTCCTGTAAAACTGTCATTTCACATAAAATGATTTTACAGTACTACATAAACCAATTCTTCAGACACACTTGCTGGAATCCTACTGCCGATTTATACTTGCATAAATGGCAGTGTGTAAGTCTTTGAGGCAAGTTGCTGCTTATTAACAAGGTGCCATTTCAGCTCCTTATGACTAGGCACATGCCCAGAAACCCAAGCAGCACCTCATTAACAAGCAACAATGTGCTACAAATACTCTCGGAATTTCCCTTATGCAATTATAAATTCACATTTTTTTTTGCCTTTCTTTTGATAGCACATTGGTAAAATAGCAGAATAAGCAATTACATAAATGGTTCCAAAGAACACAAAGCAACACACAACAGAAAAATAAAACTGTTATATATAGTAGAATCCAAGACAGAGGGGTCCTCGGTGTAAACAGTTATGTTTTTAGAATACAAATTCTATACTTCTGTCTGACAGACAAAACACCTAAATGCAGCTCATTTGGGGAAAAGGCCTAGGTTGGAAGCTACCTGGGATGCTTCCTTTGTTGGGAGAAAATGAGTCTATGTTAAGTTACAAAGCTTAGGCCCTTTTCCCAAGAGTGCCCACCTGTCAGAAGGAACTCCCAGAATGGACAATAATGGCATTGTAGTCCAAATGGCACTTGGACACAGTATTCCAGGAGAGGTCTGACAAAGGTAGATTAGAATGATACTGTTGTGTTGTTCATCTGGACACTGTAATTCTGTTGATGAAGTTTAGTGTTGCATTTGCTTTTCGTTGTTGGATCGCACTATTGAATACTCTTTAATTTGTGGTTTACAGGGTTGTTGTGTGGGGTGAAGTGGATCACCAGTTAACAGGAAATATAGGTGGATAATTGTCTTTGGTTGTTTGTATCTTTGCCAGAAAGTCTGAGACAGGGGCATTTAAATCCTTAAGAAAAAGAGCTATGAAGTGACTGAATACATCTTAACCTTAAGATTTATTTGTGTAGAGATACCTGCAGTGTCACACTTCCAGAATCTGATCCTGCTATGGCTTGACTTGTCACATAGCCCCGGAACACAGAATTCACAGAGTTGAAAAAGCTGGACTTCCCAGCTCCAACCGGCCCAAGGAACAGAACTCGAACTTGCTGCACCGAATTCAAGGGAGGCTTGTAACTTGCTATTTGGTTCATCAGTTCTTTTCTTTTCCTGATAAGACAGTAAGAAACGTTTTATCTGGTAGGCACATAACTAAATTCACTTATCACCAAGGAAGGTAGAGTTGCAGTAAGGTGGAGCTTTCCAGCGCCCAGAAGTTAATATAATTCAGTGTATTTCTTTTGCAAACGACAAGGAAATCCAGGGATCAAAAATATCTTCAGTTGGTGTACCTTTCCTGATAAGACAGTAAGACACATTTTATCTAGTAGACACAGAATTAAATTCACTCATCACCAAGGAAGGTAGAATTGCAGTAAGGTGCAGCTTTCCTGTGCCCAGAACTTAATATAATTCAGTGTAATTCTTTTGAAAAAGACAAGGAAATCCAGGGATCGAAAATATCTTCAGTTTCAGAGGACAGTTTGGTGTACTTATAGATGTACTCATCTAGCATGGAAAATACAGCTTGTAACATCCAGCTTTAAATCAGCACTATTTAAACAATTTTTGTTGGAATAATTGCATACTCATATGAAGCCTTTAAGGACTTTTTAACTGGGAGAAATCTTTCTGGACCAGGGTTGATTTCAACCAACTCAGCAGCAGCCAATTGTTCCTTTACAACCTCAGATTCTTTTCCCTTCCTTTTTCTAGTGTTCAGTTAGTGTCTTGTTAGACAGTTAAAAAGTTATGGAGTCAGAAGTGAATAGTTAGAATGAAGTTTTCTTTCAGGAATGTAACTAGTCAGTTAATTATTAATCTAATTAACCATTTAAGCTCAGTTAGGTAACAAGTTACTTACACAAAATACAATTTTTGCTTTAGATAAGAACTGTAAGTAAACAAAAACTTCTCTTTTTTAATTTACTGGAGTCTCTGAGTGCATGCATTGAAACACGTAAGTGCCAGTTGAGGTAAACTAACAAATAAGAGGTAATGTACTAAGGGAGACTGAAGTTCAATCTGCTGGGTAGGTCCTTACCAGAACCATTTTTATCTCCTGCATAAGAGGAAAATTATTACTGTTTTTAAGGCCACATTCAGTTTTCTCACACCAAATTGTGTCAAACAACCCAAAGCTTTTTCTGGTCCAACTAAGCTGTAAAATAACACAAAGCCAAGCAACACCTTTAAGATTAGAGTAACTGGACTTCAATGGATGACTACCTACCTTAGCAGAATTCCTCAGATGTAGGACACATATACAGGACTCGTTTTCTCCTTTTTCTAGGAGAGCGGCAGTCTCATGCACTTCACACCCGTCTCTCCCCAGTCTGTGCATTTTCAGGCACATGAGGAAAGCAGAGGATTCCGGTGCAATTAGATGGCTATTATCCACATACTGTCTTGAGGAAGTGTGTGGCTAAAAGGCAGTAGAAACGTGTGGGTTCAGGCTCAACATCCTGAGACTCTAGGTAAGTGGTTCCCAACCATGGGTCCCCAGATGTTCTTGAACTAAAACACCCAGAAGCCTTAACCAGTTTCTGTGATGGCCAGGATTTCTGTGAATTGTAGTCCAAGAACATCTGTGGATCTAAGGTTAGGAACCAGTAACCTAGACAAAGATTGGGCAAACATGGCCCTCCAGATATTTCTGGTATAAAACCTGCACAATCCACCATCAGTGACTAGTAGAGATGGCACTTTCTGACTTTTTACACTGCAATTCCCAGAGTACTCACAGGCAGAATTCTGGGAGATGGAACAAAAAAAAAACCAAACACACAGATGTTTACAAAGCAGCTTTCATTATCTATATGTGAGTCTCCAATGCCATAACTTGCATTTCAAGAAGGAAACTGCCCAGGTGCTGACTGGGAGTCACAATGCTCCATGAGGGTCACATCACTTCATGGAAGAGATAGCCTCACTGCCCTTTAGATTCTACAGCATCTCTCAAAGAACTACCATTCCCATGAAGATCTGTAACTCCCAGGCAGCATTGGGACAATTTCTGGCTTCCTGAAAAGTAAGCAATGATAACAGAGACCCACACAGGTACTGAAAGTTGCTCTGTAAACTCCTCTTTCGGTTGTACCGTATCTCCCAGAACTCTGCCAGGTGCTGGGATTCTCGGCAAATTACGGAAGCTGAAGTCCAAAAAAAAGAAAATCCCATCCCTAAGGCTTCTTGAGACATGCAGCCAATAGCATCTGGAAGGCTAATGTTGCAGACTTCATTCAAGGAAGTGAAGGACAGGTGCCTTAACCTTTGCACTTTCCATAGTGACTTTGTATGCACTTTCTACAAAACTTACAATTTTGTTATTTTTTAAATTCCTGCTATGAAACTGAGGCAAATTACATCTAGGCAGATGCCAAAAAACTTTGAGGGAGAATCATACTAAAAGCAGTGTTCTCTAGACACAGTAGATTTGTTTTCTCTAACCCAACATTCTTTAGGTGGAATGCATGCTGACTAGGGATACTGGGAATTGTAGTCCAACAGTCTCCAAAATGGTAGACATCACATACCCATTTTTCTCATATTCAACAATCCCTGTAACAGATTATTAAAAAGACTGCTCACGTCACAAACTTACCCATGTGTCCAGTCAATCTCCCTCCATGGTTTTTTCATCATATCACCATCTAAAGGAAAACAAAGAATAATCTTTAGAATAAAATTCCATTAGCTTTCAAGGACAAAATCTTTTTTTCCCCTTTAGTTTAACTCACCTTCTACTCGGTATACTTCACATTCCAAAAGGACCTGGTCATTGCCATGTAAGTCCACTGCAGAGAAGGTATAAGTGGCACTGCCAACTTTTGTGGCTACTGCTGCACTGTTTTGTGATAGGAATAACAGGGCATTGTCTCCAAAATTAGGACCAGTTTGACTAAGGTCATAGACAGCCTGATTGGCCATTTTGACTGGGATTTTTAGAGGGCCGAGCTCCCCATCTTTCCCTTTCAGTCTGAAGAGGAAAGCTTTTCCGTCATTCAGATATCCCTCAGAGGAAGTGTAACTCTCAACGGTAAAGCCTCCAAAAATATAACCACTTCCATTGTATCCCACAACCACAGTTGGGCCCTGGCGGTTGCATATGCTGTGAAATGCATTAGCGTTATAGCCATGAACACTTCCTTTATAAAGAAGGCTAAACTGTTTGCTTCCCACCAAATAGGACAGACTCCTCTTCTCCTCTTTTGTCAGTCGGGATTGGACGTTAAACATTCTTAATCTGAAAAATTAAAAAGAATAACAAAATCTGAATCTTTTGGGCTTCACATACAGCTTAAGAATTTTGTATAGACACACCACAGTGAGGGATTCTCATGCTAAATACTGCAGCCACATTACAATTATAGATACAAAAGATGGTTTGAACAGGTATGGGAAATGGTTCTTGTGGCAGCGCTTATCAATCACCTTCATCTGACAGAAAAGCTGGACAATTCCTTTTTGGTGATGGCTCAATTGATCATGACACCTATTGCCTCTCTACTTCCCCTCCTCCTCTAGTCTCACCAAGAGTTGGAGAACAAGCCATTTTGCAGGCACTGTGCAGATTAGATAAATGTGCAATTTCCATCTGCATGCACAGTAATTCACCACAAAATAGCGGCCACAGAATCAAAGAAATGCACAGCTTGAAGGGACCCGAGTTTAATTGTCTGTCAAAACCAGAAATGCACAGCTAAATCAGATAGGAGGAGATCTAAGCATATGAGTGCAGTATATATGTTTCCTCTAAAAAGAATTTTTTTAAAAAAAAATGAACTGTAGGTGTTAAAAGTAACTTGTAATTTTGTCCAGATATACAGCCCAATCCTCCAGATGTTTACTTGCAAGAGTATCTAACAGCACATCAGATATGCACTGAACATATATTTACATTTATCAGTTGACTCATATTTTTAGGATCACTACAAGATCCCACCAACACAAGTCAGGTTCAAAAGAGATCTTTTCTTCTGGCCCAAAGCAGAGGAGGGACAGGTCTACAAAGATTCCTCTGGCTAAATAGGGTTACTTAAAGTCATGCAAAGGTGTGGTAATGTATGCTCAACATATGGTGATCTTTGCATCCACATGGCACACACACCTCAATCTACCCTATCTGGGCCCTCTCCCTTTTCCCCTTGAATGACAAGAAATAAACAACAACAAAAATCCCACTCCTGGTTCCCTCCTCCTCCCAAGAGGCAGCTTTTAAAAATACATTTTAAAAAAATTCTAAATATGCTTTTAAAAATACTTTGGCTCTTCCCTCTTTCCCTGCACCCTGGAGCAGAAGAGATTTTAAAGAGGCTGAGCTGTTTGCTTATGGCACATAACAACACTGGGAATCTCAAAGCCGCCAGACTTCCTTTTTACGCCACTTAAGTAATCGCACATGCTAGAACCGAACCAAAGCTGAAAAATCCTAGCCTCATCTAAAAATGGATTCGCTCCTTGACAGAAATTAACAACTGTGCGGCGAGGAATGCGGTGGGAATGCGCCGGTTTACACAAGCATTCTCAGTATGTCACGTGATTGCTGGGAAAAGAAGAGAAACCACCCCTCCCCGCAGCTTGAAACAAACAGCGGGGCAACCCGCCCATCCGCTCCGCCTCACCCTTTCCTCTCGAGCAAGCGCTCGTTGGCTGCTCGAAACAAAAACGTGAGGAGTTTTTGTCTAAAAGCCCGGGTGTCATGGACTTGCCGCGCAGGTCAGGCCACCAAAGGCCACCCAATTCGAACTCAACCCCGTTCAACTCGCGGGGGCTGCTATGATACTTGCACCCGTTTGTACCGTCGGTTTGCAAACAGCGGGGATCCCCCAGAAGTCCTTAAGACTTCGGAATAAACATGCCTAGGATTGCTTTTTTTTTAAGCGTGTGCCTATTTTGCTATTGTAAATCATCAAAAAAATTTTTGGGGGAGAAGGTTTGATGCACAGCACCAAACAGCTTTAAAATAAACAATGATCCCCCAAAAGGTAGCCACGCGGAGGATCATAAACCACCGCTATAGCGAATCCGGGGAAAGGTATTCCAAATACCAGAATCCTCCAACGCGGAGGATGGATCCCGGGAATTACTGTATAAGCCAAAAAAAGTTAGGTTTTTCAGGCCGTGCCTTACACATGGAGGGAGAACGCTCTTTTTTCTTTCTTTCTTTCTTTCGCCTTCAGCTCGGCTGCCCTCGCCTTCCTACCTAGTTTGGTGATAAGAACACACCACGTTGAGGCTCTGCGAGCCGAGAAGAAACGAAACCAAAGGCGCGCCAGTTCGCGATTTCTGGGAATTTTCCTGCCCCTCCGTGCAGGAGCTTTGCAACGAGAAAAACAAAAAACATCAGGGAAGTAGTCTGAGGATAAAATCAGCTTCACCCCCAACCAAAGGTTCACCCGCTCACCTGAGGGCTTCGTTCGCCGTAAGGGCTCCCAGGAAGAAAGATAGTTGGGGAGGGGGCGGAGCGGTCCTGCAGGCAACGGCGGGAAAATGGCAGAATCGATGCCCAGACCCTTAAACGTCACAGCCCACCTAGTTCTTAATTAGCAAATAGGGTCAGCTTACCTATCCCCTGAGAGGGTTCTGATTGGCAGATACCAGGCTTTCAGATATATTAGTGGGGGTGGCTGAAGTACCGTAGGGCCCTCATGAGGTTTTTTTGGGGGTGGGGGTTAGATGGCCCCTGTCATTGGAGAATGGTTTGGAGATGATCTTATATAAAGTTTATGTGGATCAATCAGGATCTGTGCCTTGGATTAGTGTTTTTTGCGCCTCTGCAAAACCATGCACTCACCAATTTATGTGGTATAGTCTGTGGGCACAGATGGGAATCTGTGATTGGGCAGTGGTTTAGGAATGATCCTACATAGAAATGTGGATTCATGAGGATCTGTGACTTGAATGGGTGTTTTTGTGCCACTGCAAAGCTATGCAACAAAGGACCGATGATTTCTGCCTTGTGGTCTGTGGGAACAGATAAGATCTATGACTGGTTTAGAGAGGATTCCATCTAAAGATCATATGAAATCATGTGGATCCATGCCTCAGATCCATCTTTTTGTATCACTGCAAAGTCATGCATCAAAGGAGCCATGATTTCTGTGTTGTAGTCTATGGAGATAGGTGGGATCTATGATTTGATGGTGATTTGGCAAGGATCCTATGTAAAATAATACGAAATCTTGAACATCCATTCTTTATTTCATAGATTTGCCTTTCCCCCAGATCCTATTTGGGCATCGAGCGGAATGCTGACCTTGCCTATGTGAGTGCATAGTTTGACTAGTCAGCTTTCCCATCTTGTCTGCTATGTTTCCAAACAATTTCTTATCACCAAACTAGGTAGGGGAGCTAACTGCAACAGCTGTGGAATGATCTTATACTGCTTTCTGCAGGAGATAAGAATGCTCCTGATCAAACACATTGCCTTTAGTTACTTTGTTGCTGCTACATAAACACAGTATACATGAGCACAATATTTTGTGAAGCCTTTACCAAAACAGTATGCAGAGTTTGTAGACCAAAGAAAAATGTATTTTGAAAAAATATAAACAAATAAAAAGGTTTAGTTATTAGGTAAAGGTGAACTATAAGAACAGTGTCTGAGCAATCAGTTCTTCATCATACACTCACAAGCCCTTTTACCTGACTTCTTTCTTTGTAGTGTAGAGACACATGACTTCTTTAGAAAGACGGATAGATATTTTATTTTTATTATTTCTTCCCCCCCCCCCGAACTCTCAGGGCAACTTATAATACTAAAACAAACAAATTATATTAGCAAGAAACACAAAAGTTAAAAAAAGATACTGGTGCCTTAAAGACTAATTGCTATATTTTAATGTATGGTTTCATGGAACTGGCCCATTTATTCAGACATAAGAGTTAAAATTAAATATATTTAGATCTCACTGTTATGTTAACCTTTATTGTTCAAATCCAGGAGCCTGCCTATTCATACCTATTACCTATGTTTGATTGTTTAAACCAATATGACCTCGTTATTTGCTTTATGTGGAACTAAGACTAAGGAACCCAGAATGCAAACAAAGAAAAGTATACCCACAATATGTAAAGCTACATTTTAATAATAGCAATGCAGAGAACACATTAATTATTTGAAGATACCATCTTGTGGCAAAGGACCTCTGGCTGGGTCAATATAAAAGGAACAACCTCAGAATGTACAGGACTTTGAATAGAATTCATTAGGTTTTGAGTGGTGAATCCTATTTTAATTGCCAATGTCATGGTCAAAGAATATGATATAGACATCCAATTCATAAAGTTATCCTTCTGTCCAAGCAAACTTCCTCCATGGTTTCTCAATTGTATCACCAATATCTGAAGAAAAAAATTAGAAGAAAAACATTTGGAAGTGTAATTAAATGGATTTCTATATATCAATTGCCACTAGTTACAAGTTACCACATCCTGGTTGCATATCAGGTGATGCAACTGTGTGGTGACTATTAACTAAGACCATTGTATTTATGCTGTTTTATCTACAAATAGGATTCTAGCCAAATTATTTTTATATATAACTATTTTTCTACAAATCCTATTTGTAGAAAAAAACAGCATAAATACAATGGTCTTAGTTAATAGTCACCACACAGTTGCATCACCTGATATGCAATCAGGATATGGAAACTCTAACTAGTGGCAATTGACCTCTGCATTTCACACCTGTGTACTTATGCTATCATAACAGCCAATAGGGTTTTGCCTTTGTTTCCAGCTTGCCTTCAGTTTGGTATACTACCTCACATTCCAAAAGGATCTGGTAATTTCCATGTAAGTATTCTGTGGAGAAGGCATAGGTGGCCCTGCCAGATTTTATAGACACTACTGCACTGCTTTCTAACAGGATCATGAGAGTATCATCTCCAACATTAGGACCATTTTGAGCAAGGTCATACACAGCCTGGTTGGCAATTTTGACTGGAATGTTCAGTGGGCAGAGTTTAAGGCAAACATTGGCAACAAGTCTGCCAATGAATTCAACATTAGAAATTGAATATTCAGGGTGACCTTTTCAGTGGCCTCTACTGCCATGTGGGGTTGTAGCAAGTTCCCTATCATGTCAATCAGCATATACTGTCACTTTTGTTGAAAAATTGCAATTACTTCCAAATGCACACCTTTATATTATGTTCTCCTCATAGTAATAACTACATGCTGTCAAGTGTTTCCATGTAAGTATTCTGTGGAGAAGGCATAGGTGGCCCTGCCAGATTTTATAGACACTACTGCACTGCTTTCTAACAGGATCATGAGAGTATCATCTCCAACATTAGGACCATTTTGAGCAAGGTCATACACAGCCTGGTTGGCAATTTTGACTGGAATTTTCAGTGGGCAGAGTTTAAGGCAAACATTGGCAACAAGTCTGCCAATGAATTCAACATTAGAAATTGAATATTCAGGGTGACCTTTTCAGTGGCCTCTACTGCCATGTGGGGTTGTAGCAAGTTCCTTATCATGTCAATCAGCTTATACTGTCACTTTTGTTGAAAAAAATGCAATTACTTTCAAATGCACACCTGTATATTATGGTATCCTAATAGTAATAACTGCATGCTATCAAGTGAATTCTGACTTATGGTGACTCCAGGATTTTCTAGGTATAAATCACTCAGAAGAGGTTTACTGTTCTATTTTTCTGGTGTCAACCCGGGATTGTGCTGCTTGCCCAAGATCACATGAGCTGGCTCATCTCCTCCAGGGTACACTGGGAAATTGAACTCCCAGTCGTTGGCTCTGCAGCCAGATACCTCATTTGCTGAGCTGTGAAGCAAGTTATAATATTTATTTCTGGGCACGTGTATAAACTACTCTTTTTGGGGGTGGGGGGGTCCACAGACATTCACAATAAGAATAGATGCAATAAAATCAACATCCATAATATATACAATAATGAGGGAAAGTGTAAAACCCATTAAAGACAATTTGTTAAACCCAGGGTAACTGATAATAAGGTTAACAACCAATGACTATTTATTTATGGAACACCCATGGTAGGAAATTCTGTACATAAAATGCCCCAGGTCTTCCCATGATTGTCATTTTCCCTTCAACAATGTCTCCTTTCTGGAGTCTGTACAGTAATAAAAGGAGGCAAAGAAGAAATGAAAGAGAAACTGAAATGGTTTATAAGAACAGCTTTATTTCCCGGAATTCTCCCTCTCTCCCCCCCTCGCAAAATGCTATTTATGTCTCCACAACATAATCTTCCAGCAATGCAGCAACCTGTCTCTCCAATCAAACATCTTTCCTCTTCTCCTTTCAGCTCACCCATTCGCTGTGTGTGCCTGTAAAAAAGCATTCAGCTTCCTTTTTACACCCATTGTCTCACACAGGATACCTGACCTTACTCAGGAGTAACAACTTAGAACTGTGGGTAAACACTTAATTTGACAAAAGGGTGGGTGTTCTCACTGCAGATTTTGTTTTGAAGGGAATGGCTTGGGTGAGACAACAGGGAAGTTAATAATTGGTTTGTGTCTGTTTTTCTCCCCACCTGGTATATAGCAGAAGCTGGAAACAGAGTGAGTTCATTCCCTCCCCCATCGCCCCATAACTCCTCCCTCCTTTCAGCTTTCTAGCAACATCAGGGAAGTCTGCAAGCTGAGGATGCATGGACTGCTGCCAGCTGCTGGCTTTAGGTCTTGATACCTAATGTTGCCAAGAGAGGAAGCCTGAGCAAGGAAGAAAGCCTCCTAGTCTAGGAAGGCCTCAGACCAGCCCTTTTCCTTGGAGAAGAGGCCTTGATGCTCTCATTCATTCATCTTTGCTAGACCCTTCTTCTGGTGAGCCCTGTAGTTGAGAAAGAACCAATCATACATCTCATGGTGGAGGTGTGAGGAATGTAGGGGGGTGCAAGTAGGGAAAACCTTGGAGGAACATCTTCACCTGGGACAGAATAACAGAGTGGTGAAATACACCTTCCTCCCAAATGTGTCTGTCTACTCTCCTTGTCAGCCAGGGCTGAATAGTTTGGATTTGACCGGGACAGCCTCCACTACAAAAGATATAGGGGTAGGGTGTTTACAGAGGAAGGATCCGCAAAGCGGTTTTTCCCCATAGGCAACATTGCAATGCAATCGCAAAAGCGATCGCAAAAAAGCCATCGTTAAACGGGGCGCCCGTTAAGCGAGGCACCACTGTACTGTAATAATTCACCGTAAATTGTCCAGCTTTATTTTTGTACATAGTAATTGGGAATACCATTGTATGGATGACCTTCAACAACACATCCATCGTACACTTGAGGAGTTTTCCCTCATATTGGGGAGATACGATGCATGGTGGTTGAATTCATCCAGGACCACCCTCCTAAAAGTCCCAATTCCCAATGCTATCGAACAAAAAAAATTTTTTTTTTCATTTTGTTTTCTTTATGCCTTGGAATTCCCTTCCTGAGTCTTTGCAAAATATGATGGTGTTGCAGGTAAAACCACTACTTAAATACCTCACCTTGAAAGCCCTATTCGGGTTGCTGTAATTCAGGTCCAACTTGATGGCACATAAGAACAACATTTAGTTGGCAAAAGACAGGAACATACCAGTTCTCCCAAAACTAAACTGGTCTCAGTGCACTGATCCTTATTAAAAGAATTTTGTAGGGCACAGAAGTTAACTTGTTTTGTTGAGACTTTGGATATAAGAACTTCTGCATCACTGACAAATAATATCACCCTTAAAAAATAGACAGAAGATGGAGTAGCTCAGTGGGTTGATGTGCCTGGATCAGAACGCTCACTCTGCTTCCCAGGAGAGGGGCTAGCTCAGATCACCAGAGTGTGCGCACCTGATGGGGGCTATATGTACTTTATACCAAGAAAGTTCTAGGAGGATCACCCCAAGTCATATGACTGACAAATAATATTGCCATTAAAAGCACTCAGAAGATAGGAAAGCTCAGTGGGTCGGTGTGCCTGGATCAGGAGTCGGAATGCTCACTCTGCCTCCCAGGTTAGAGGTCAGCTGAGATCACCACAAGTGCCTGAGATTGAGGGGCTATAAATACTTCATGTTATTACCGGCCAAACCTGGGTTCTAAGATTCTCTGGCAATGAATCAGGCATAGACGCAACAGCTGAACCAAAGGCCCAATTTTATTTGAATAGCAGCAAATAAAAGGTCAGCTGGGACTGCTCTTAAAAGTAGAGAAGATCCCGAAAATACAGTGTACATATGTTTTATAATGATACAAACAAAGAGTCATAAAATGCTACAATTCTATTGGTCATTTGTACCCCAAGTTTGGATCCATTCTCACATTGGGTAATGATGCCAACTACGCTGATCTATTGGATCCCTATAGATATGCAGATTGCATGCCCATGTGTCTTTGGCCTATGCTCAAGATGCGCCTGAATGTTGGGGAAAGAATCTTATCTGTTGGTATGTTTATGGGTAGGCTTCCTGGGTCTTCACTCTCTAACTCCCTGGTGTGAATTTTTGGCCTGTCATGGCTGGCTTCCTCTTGCCTGCATTCCAGGACCAGGCCATCTGCCAGATCAAAAGGAGGATGGACAAAACAAAAGTGTGACAATGACATTCCATAGGATGTGTGAACGTTCCTCTATTTGCCTGAGCTATGTGTGAATGTTCTTGGGCCTAGTTTCTCTGAGGCCTGTGTTTTCTCTGCTAACGGTTATACTAAAATCTAGTTTGATTTTGCTCCAGTATCAGTACCGAGAAAAATCTAGGAGGATCACCATAAGTCCTAACTGACTGGACATAGTTACTTATGAAAAAATATCTAAACATTTAAATTGACTATCCCTGGTAAAATATAAGGAACAATTATGCTTTATATGATGATTGTACAGAGCACACATGAACAAAAAAAGGAAGTTAAATGTAAACAATATTACTGTAGATAGCCATTTCATTCTGCCTTTATTACTTAAAAAAATGTTAGTTAACGACTAGCATCGATTTGTTACAAATCTTCAGGAAAAATTACAACTCAAACAGGCTTCAATGAACATATCATTCTTCAGTATAGTAATCAATTTTGGGAGTGTAGTCAAAAGGGAAATTATCAAAGTAGCTTTCAGCTAAACGCAACATCTGCCTCACCGCCATGAGTAGAAGGATATCAACGTCATCCCTAAGTTCAATTTCTGAACAGTAATTTTTAACAGGAACTATCTGGGAAAGAGGGATTCCAAGTCTTTCTGCTGTTACCTCCATCTGTTAAAAAACAACAACCAAAAGACATCCTTTGAAATGTAGATAAGCCTATTTTCCTGTCCTACAACTTCCGAAAGAACTCAGCCCTACCAAGGGTTATGTGCTTTACTCCTCTGTTTTGCATACATTCTACCATCTATCACTTTTTTTCTTTTAACTACAAAAACACAACTCTTGTTTTAGAAAATATTACTTCTCGCGTTTTAATTATGTATCATACTAGATTCAAAATAGATATATCTTGTTCGTAGGGCTTCAAATTATTAGAATTAATCCTCTTGCACTTTTTAAATTAAATAGTCAGATTTAATGTATTTGGTAACATTAGAACACTGAAGAAATTATGAAGTTAATTTGACATCGCTATTAATACACTATTACCGTATTAGTTTAATTTAAAAAAAAATCTATTAATGTACTAAAAATGGCCAGCTGCTCCTGAAGAAATTATGAAGTTAATTTGACATCACTATTAATACAGTATTACCATATTAGTTTAATTTAAAAATCTATTAATGTTCTAAAAATGGCCAGCTACTCCTGAAAAGTACCTCCCCCCCCAAAAAAAATAACTAATATGAAACAACCCCATTGGCATTCAGGTCAGACGACCAGCAGTCGTAAGATCGAATCCATGCGATGGAGTGAGCGCCCGTCACTTGTCCAAGCTCCCGCCAACCTAGCGGTTCGAAAGCATGCAAATGCGAGTAGATCAATAGGGACCACCTTGGTGGGAAGGTAACAGTGTTCCGTGTCTAAGTTGCACTGGCCATGTGACCACGGAAGATTGTCTTTTGACAAAACACTGGCTCTATGGCTTTGAAACGGGGATGAGCACCACCCCCTAGAGTCGAACACAACTGGACAAAAATTGTCAAGGGGAACCTTTACCTTTTTACCTCCTGAAAAGTACCTCCCCCCCAAAAAAACACATTGCACTAATATGAAACAATCCCATTGGCATTCGATAATTAAAATAACACTTTAAACCACTATTGAAAATTTAAAAGGACTGGGCATAACAAATTAATTGTGATACAGCTGCCTAATTACACAAAAAGCAGAAGTTGACTTGGGAACACTTGCCTCTAAAACCTATGCCCGTTTGCATTCTCACACAAGAGGATTTTCACCATTATTTCTAAGCTGTTTCTTTGTCACAAGGCACAATATATTTGCTGAAGCAAAACATGAGGGAATCATCAGATGAGCTGAAAATATGTAAAGTAAAATATAATAAGATCAGAGTCATGTTGATTTAAGGCTGAAGTATATAAGGAGAAAGGCACTGGATCCTGGTGCTCATAATAGCAGGGGAAGTAAAAAGCATTGCAGCTAATATGGGGTGAAGGTAAATCTGGGGTAAAGACTGGTATTCATGAATGTGCCAGTCTGCACATACATGCAGACAATCATCCACTCAGATACACCCACACAACATCCCTTTTGAAGGGTAGAAAAATGTCCCTACCCCTGAATTAGAAATGTTTCTAACCGCTGCTGATTCCCTTTGTGTCTGCTTCTAAAACTGGGAAATTGACTTGTCCAGTCCCATTCATCTTCTTACTCTCCTCTAGAAATGGGCATGAACCCCCCCATGCTGGTTTGTTTTTCCACCAAACAGGTGTTCAATGCTTCCCAGACCTGCCTCCTCTAGCAGGCACCCACTTAGAGGCAGCACCCACAAGAGGTGGGGCAGGAAAGGAGAAGGATCTTACTGATCCTGGATCCTACTTACGTATATCAAGATGCTAAAGTATTTTCAGCAATATTAGCAAAGGGAATGAACAAGCTTATTACTAAATATATTAAGGAAGAGGAAATGGGTTTTCTGATAGGAAAAGAAATCTGACAAGAAGAGTGTTACATGTAATAAATGTAGTAAGAACAAAAAAGGTGAAGGCAGGAATAAATTCATTAGAAATTTTCAAGGCATTTGATTGTGTGGAATGGCCAACCTTAGAAAATAAAAATACTAGGTGTGACGGTTGCTCAACATCACTCCTGTCACTCACAGTCTGGTTCTCATTTGCATGAGCCTATGAGAGGAGTGGAAGGGCGGAGTCAGTGGAGATAAGGTGGGTTTGGCAGAAAAGAGAAGAGAGAGAAAGAAGGAGGGAAGAGATAGAGAGATAGTTAGGGAGACAGTGAGAAGAAATAATAATACAGTAGAGATAAGCTAGTCAAGATAAATAGAGCAGGTGGTGAAGGTGGCAAGATAGATATATTTGAATGATTTGATTGCATGCATTAAATAAAGAACATTGCTGATCCTGATTAAAGTTATTACACTTCAATAAATAAGTTCTTTTGGCAGCACCCTGACAAGTGTCTGACTTAAGTTCTTTATATATATTGTGGATAAAGGAAATCCACTAGTGGCAGTGAGAAAAAGGGGGAACGTCCCAATTGTTATCTGCTGGTGGGAAGACATAGCGTGAGCCCTTCGTTTGAGAAATCAAGCAGGGGTCACATGGTAAACGTCACACTAGGTTTTGGGGAACAATTTAAATGTATGATAGATCAATTATATTCAGAAAATACAGCACTAGTAGTAAATGATGGAATAACAGAACAGATATCACTAGGCTGTGATGCTAGACAAGGATGTCCTCTTTCCCTGGTATTGTTTGCATAAGCTATAGAATTGTTAGTGAACATGATTAGAGAAAATAAATTAATTTGTGGTGCTGGTATTAAAGACAGACTTACAATTAGCTGATCTGCAAATGATACTTTATTAACAATCAAGACACCAATTATTCCAAGTTGTGTTGGAGAGGTTGTCAGAAGATCAATATTTATCTTCATATGTGGTAGGAATGTTATAATATATTGAAATTTTGGCAATCAGTTTTTAAGGAAATAAATGAAACAACTAAGTTAAAGATAGAGGGATGTCCCCAAATAGCATTTTTAACCATATTGGATAGATGATATCAGAAAATTAAAGAATGAATTTCAAAATTATTAAAAGCAACAAGTTCTAAATAAACTGGACTAGATAGGAAATGGGAAAGAGTGTATGACTTTCAATTAAATGAATGGTAAAGAGAGGTTTGAGATGTAACACTAAAGTTAAGGGGTGGTTACGTAAGACTATATTTATAGACTGTGTATTGATAAAAGAGAAGGAATATACGCCTTCACAAGAATTCGTGTAATTTTGAGAGATAGGGCTCTATAGAATGGGAGGAAATGGCTGTAATTCCCAAATGATCCCAGTGGTGGAGAGTATGATTTGTATTATTATTATTTTGTTACATGTTATTAGATGTTTTTTATGTTTGTATGAAATAAGAAATGAAACAATAGTCACTTTGGTAAGTGCAAAAGATTGCAGCTTGTGTGCTGAAACCAGCCTATCATTCCATATGGTGGCCTTTCAGGGAAAATGAATGAAGATATAAACACACTAGCTGAAATCATGTTGCTTAGCATTATATATTACAACTAGAGTAAGCATATTGGAATCAATGGAACTTACAGAGCATTGACTCACAAAACCCATACTGGTTCAATGGGCCTACATAAGTGCAACTTGCAGGATTTCAGGCACTGAGTGTGGACTTGCAGCTGCCTGTTCAAAACTGCTGAATTAATATACAGGATGACAACCAATATTTACCTGTCTCGTGACAGCTTGGCTTCTATACACATCTGAAAAGTCTTCCTCAAGAGAAGGACAAACTGCATCCACTTTAGTTATTATTACAAGTTGTGGCACAGCTATTGGGAGAAAATAAGTTACAAAAAAAATAGTTATTGCAAAACATGGATTTCCAAGTCTCTCGCATCACAAGTGTGCATCAGCACTAATTCGACGAAAAATCCTTTCTTGCCAATTTCATGTACATTAATAGAGAAAGAATCTAGGGGCTCTACATTTGAATTTTACAGAGCCTTAAGCTTTTCAGGAAAAAAAAACATTGCCTTCTTGTTCCATCATCATCATCTTAGAACTACAGAGCTCAGATAGCAAGACTTGCCTGGCAAACTGATTCATCCTGAGAAGTCCAGTTTGCTTGTAATCTCTGCCTCCAAGGGCCAGAGAGACACCTAAAGTCTAGACTAAAAGCAGGGCAAATACAATCTAAAACTCCCCAGGACCCATTTGATCTGCATATCTGCTCATAGTACATCCCAGTGTTGAGTGTAATATTTTTATATCACAAAATCCCCCATCATTTCTTTCTGACTAGGCTGTCAGTCCACGTGAACGCAGTGCAATCTTTTCTGGATATGAGGCTTTGTTCAACAAGCTAACAATCAATGCCTTGTGCTCCCACAGTTCAGAAACCATCTATTTGAGATCTGTTGCATTTGTAGAATATGGGTGGGCAAACAACAGCCATCTAAGGCCACTTGCTGGGAGACTGGCCTTGAATAGGTGAAGATTGTCAATACTTGAAGAGTGATTCTCCAGCTCCAGAAACAACAACAAAATGTTACTGCATCCAGTAGCTAAATTTAAAAACAGAAAACTTTTGGGCATTAGCAAATTGTCCCTCACATCACCCAGAAGATATAAAGGAGGCTTCCTTTCCTTTCCTTTCCTTTCCTTTCCTTTCCTTTCCTTTCCTTTCCTTTCCTTTCCTTCCTTCCTTCCTTCCCTCCCTTCCTTCCCTTCCCTTCCCTTCCTTCCTTCCTTCCTTCCTTCCTTCCTTCCTTCCTTCCTTCCTTCCTTCCTTCCTTCCTTCCTTCCTTCCAGTGCCAGCATTTCTCTCCACCGCCACAGAGGACTTGGCAGTATCTGAGCAAGACAACATCAACCCATCACATACAGGTTTCTGGCTTCTCTAAACATCAATGTAAAAAAACTGACCAAGCTTGTTGATTTTTTGTCTGATTTCTCTCAGCTTTCCTTCCAGCATCTCAGGGAGGATTTCAACCTTGGAGCCGTCAATAACAAACACGGCACAATGAATCTGGTCTTTCAAAGATGGGCATTTGACGTAGCCCAGTGAATCCGACTGCATAGCAATAGTTGGATTAAACTGAAAAGGCAAAAAGTAATGGCAACAATGTTAAAAGAAAGCTAGCTAGTAAAGTTACAGATACAGTACAGTATTAGTTAAAAAAAGTGCTAGAGAAGTATCTACAATTCTAGAAAAATGTGTTCTCAGTAGAAGCAAATAAATTACTCAAATAAGAACATATGTATCTGTGCTTCTATGCATCTCTTTGTGAGGAGAGAAACAGAAAAGCTATGTAACAATATGTCCTGTCTAAACACATGTAACCTACATTAAAATGTATATGTGTGTCTTGTCTATTCCTCTCTCCTTTTTTTAATCTTTTCTCTTTTCATTTTTTGCTTTGCTTTGTTTTTTCTTTTGTGCTCGTTCGTTTAGTCGTTCATTTGACGTAGCCCAGTGAATCGGACTGCATAGCAATAGTTGGATTAAACTGAAAAGGCAAAAAGTAATGGCAACCATGTTAAAAGAAAGCTAGCTAGTAAAGTTACAGATACAGTATTAGTAAAAAAAAGTGCTAGAGAAGTATCTACAATTCTAGAAAAATGTGTTCTCAGTAGAAGCAAATAAATTACTCAAATAAGAACATATGTATCTGTGCTTCTATGCATCTCTTTGTGAGGAGAGAAACAGAAAAGCTATGTAACAATATGTCCTGTCTAAACACATGTAACCTACATTAAAATGTATATGTGTGTCTTGTCTATTCCTCTCTCCTTTTTTTAATCTTTTCTCTTTTCATTTTTTGCTTTGCTTTGTTTTTTGTTTTTTTCGTTTCCAGGGAGTCTTCTCTTCTCATGAGATGGCCAAAGTACTGGAGCCTCAGCTTCAGGATCTGTCCTTCCAGTGAGCACTCAGGGTCGATTTCCTTTAGAATTGATAGGTTTGTTCTCCTTGCAGTCCAGGGGACTCTCAAGAGCCTCCTCCAGCACCACAATTCAAAGGCATCAATTCTTTGGCGGTCTGCTTTCCTTATGGTCCAGCTACTCTGTTGTGCTACTTAGATCCTAATACAAGAGGCCAATTCTCTTGTACTATATAAAATGATACGCATTAAATGGTCATATAATGGCACCTTAATATCACATGTCAAGAAAGAGAGTATCAAAACTGATGAATACGCTTTTGCCACTGAGCCTATTTAACAGAAACGGATGAGTTTAGTCAAGGAGAACACACTCAAAGTCATCCATGACTGCCCTCTTCTGCCAGGAGCTGGGGATGTAACTGTAGACAATGTTCACCATTTTAAGTGAAACAAGAGCAATAACTTCGTCATTAGCAAATGTTCATTTTCATCAAGTTTAGAAAAGTTAAACTAAAAAGAAAGAAGGAGAAATACAAAAACTGACTAAAACCCTCCAACTAAACAAATATGTTTCAACATAAACTGTTTACATACCTAAATGCTAAGAACTGACAGAGGTTTCCTATGGCAACCAGAGCTAAAATGCCAGTCCACACATCCAGGCAGGAACAGGTCTACATTTCAAATACGGCAATATGTTTTGTGACAACTTGCCATCTGGCTCCTGTACTTATTGCCACATTATGGAAAGCTATTGTTAAAAGACAGCTTTCAAGCTACCACAGTGAGTGGAGGAGGGAACACTCCTTCATATAGGCAGCTTACCACCCACTCCCATCTTGCTTTCATGGAATTCTGTGGGTGAGTGACTTGATGTGGGAATCTGGCTGTTTCCAGCTGACAAGTTATTACTCTTAAACCGGTGGCTTTTAGTTCACCTGAGTGGAGAATCCTGCACAAATACACCTTTATTTCAAGTGAGCTATGGAGTACCAAGTGATCCATCCTACCTGATATCTATCAGGAATGTGTCCCTGTAACAGATTGCCCACTTCTTCAATATTCAGACCAGCTCCTTGTTTTTCTTCTAGTCCCATAGTGTCACAGAAGGTGATGGGTAATGGCTTTCCGTTGCTTCCATTTTTCACTTGATAGGTTCTGTACTTTTTTTTTAGATTTTGAAAATAGCAAAGAAACCAATATTTAAATATATTCTTGTCCACTTTGCTTTCACTTTGCAAATATAGAGATCAAATACTGATACAAGGGGACCCAAGCTTATTTTTGTAAGCAGCAACCATGATTAAAGGTAACAACAGTGAAAACAACATGTGGTTATATAGAGAATGATAAGCTTTACCTCGGAGCCTTGTTCTGAAAGAGTGGGTCTGGTTAGTTTGGAAGTAAAATAGCAATATATAGCAATATAATATCACATTTAGCTTTAAAAACCTTGGCTAATATTTAATCTGTATATGTGAACACTCTTCACTTTTCTATGCTGAATCTTATGTCTCTTTTTGTTGCCTTTTACTGCTGTCTTAATTTATAAAGATCCTTTCAGAATTCTTTACAGCTTGTGTTATCGCTCCTGAATAATACTGCATTGCCTTATCAACATTTTTCCTTAGTACATGATATACACTTCAAAGTGCAGCCACAAAAGAACAAGGAAAACAGTTGTTCTCTGATCTGAAAAATTACTGAGGCATTTTATTATCTAAGATCCATACTGATACTCTTTTAGAAAAGATGGTCTTTTCTAAATCAATTCTGACTAAAGAATTGATAACTAATTTATTGAGGCTGGATTTATCACCCAGCCTCAATGATCTGCTATTTTCTAATTCGTTGAGTAATTCTGCAATTCCACATGAAATGCTTTCACTAAGAAAGTTAATTCTTCAGACATACTCACTGGAATCTTACTGTTGAGTTCTACTTCCACAAAGGTCATTGTGTAAGTCTTTGAGGCAAGTTGCTGCTAATTAACAAGGTGCCATTTCAGCTCCTTATGGCCAGGCAGATGCCCAGAAACCCAAGCAACAGTATGCCACATACACTCCCACAATTTCCCTTATGCAATTATAAATCCACAATAGGACTCTGGCCACTCCTGAAAAACAGGCAAACCTCCAGAATTTTCTCCCACAACAACAACAAATGAAAGGTACATTATATTTCATTTGAAAGCACATGGGTAAACAAAAAACTAAGCAATTGTATATTGTTCTTCTGTGGATCAAATCTAGTGTTGCATTTGCTTTTTTGCTGTCAGGTCACATTATTGAATAATGGTTAGTTCATGGTTTATTACCACGGATGCAAGTCTGTCAAGTTGGACATAAGTCACAGCGGTGACTTGGATTAGACTCGACTCTAGTTTTTTTCAATGTCTTGGACATGACTCACAAGTCAGAATCCATCCACCCACTACCTTCTTTCTGGAGGGGAAAGCTTGTTTATAATAGGGATTCAGACTTGGAGTTTGGGACTCAAGACTTGGTACCAAGGACTCAGACTTGGGACTTGGTACCAGAGTCTTGGCCTTGGGACTCAAGACCCAAAGACTTGCCAACATCCCTGTTTAATACACCCTCACATTCTTTTCACATGTACCTATGATGGGTTTTTTTCAATGTGAGTAGAACCGGACCACTGATTAGCTGGAAGTATAGGTACCAAATTGTCTTTGTTGTTTGTACCTTTGCCAGGAAGTCTGTGACAGGGGCATTTAAATCGTTAAGAAAAAGAGCTGTGAAAGCTATGAAGTGACTGAATGTATCTTAGTGTTAAGATTTATTTGTGTGGAGATACCTGCAGTGTCACACTTCCAGAATCTGATCCTGCTATGGCTTGACTTGTCACATAGCCCCGGAACACAGAATTCACAGAGTTGAAAAAACTGGACTTCCCAGCTCCAACCGGCCCAAGGAACAGAACTCGAACTTGCTGCACCGAATTCAAGGGAGGCTTGTAACTTGCTATTTGGTTCATCAGTTCTTTTCTTTTCCTGATAAGACAGTAAGACATGTTTTAATCTGGTAGCCAGAAGTTAATATAGTTTGATATGCTCACTTATGGTGATGGCGGAAGGCAAGATTAAAATGGCAGAGGGAGACTGTATAAACAATCAGAGAAGGTAGGTCAGGGGAAAGAGCCTTGTAAATAACCATTACCAAGTTGCTGTAAGGTGAAGTTTTCCTGCGCCCAAAAGTTAATATAATTCAGTGTTTGTTGTGGGTTTTTCAGGTTTTTTGGATGTGTTCTGAAGGTTGTTCTTCCTAACGAGGACTGAAGATGCCAGTCACAGAGACTGGTGAAATGTTAGGAAGAACAACCTTCAGAACACAGCCAAAGAACCTGAAAAACCCACAACAACCATTAGATCCCGGCCGTGAAAGCCTTCACGAATACATAATTCAGTACACAGTATTTCTTTTACAAAAGACAAGGGAATCCGAGGAGCAAAAACATTTTCAGTTTAAGAAGACAGGTGGTGGTATTTATAAATGTACTCATCCAGGATAGAAATTACGGTTGAGACACCCAGCTTTAAATCAAGCAGTACATAAGCAGTAGATACTTTCCAGTCCAACTAAGTTGTAAAAGAACACAAAGTCATGCAACAACTTTAAGATTAAGAGATATGTTTCATGAATTACCGCTTACTTCCTCAGGTGCAGGACACATATAAAGGACACACCTTCTCCTTTTTCTTGGAGACATGCAATCTCATGGACCTCGCAACCCATTTCTCCCCAGTTTGTCCCTCTCTGTATTTTCAGGCACATGGGGAAAGCAGAGGGTCCCTGTGCAATTAGATGGCTATTGTCCATGTATTGTCTTGAAGAAGTGTGGCTCAAAAGCAGCAGAAACTTGTGGGTTCCAGTACCTGAGTACATTGGTCTCCATTGCCATTACTTGCCTTTTAAGAAGGAGGAAATTGTCCTTGTGCTGACTAGGAAGTCACAAGGCTCCATAGGAGTCCCACGGCTTCATGGGACAGATAGCCTCACTGCCCATTAGATTCTACAGATAGCATCTCTCAAAGGATTTCTTTTCCCACAAAGCCTTGCAACTTCCAGGCAGCATTGGGGCAGTTTCCTCCTTCTTGAAAAGCAAACGATAACAAGAGACTCACATAAGTACTGAAAGCTGCTCTGTAAACTCCTCTTTTGGTTGTATCTCCCAGAACTCTGCTTTCTAGGAAAATTATGGGAGTTGCAATCCAAAAAAGCAGAAAGAACCACCCCTACTAGCTAAAGCTTCTGAGAGTTGCAACCAGTAACATCTGGCTTGCTACCATTGCACACTTCCTTTAAGGAAGTGAAGGACAGATGCCATGACCTTTATGCTTTATATAATCTGAAAGATTATATATTATATAATGTAATATAAAACATGTTTTTTATTCCTGCCATGCCAGTGGAGCAACTGCTGCTGAGATGACATCTACGCAGATGCAGAAAGCTCTGGGGGAGAACCTTATTTCAAGCACTGTTCTCTAGACACATTACATTTGCTTTCTTCAATCTAAGTCTTCACATGAACTGTAAAGGGCTGATGACTGGGGATGGGAACTATAGTCCAAGAGTCTGGGAAATAGTACCTTTGGAAAGGCTACCTTATAAAAAGGTGTGGTCACCGGTTATTACAAAGATTGCTCATGTCATAAACATACCCAGGTGTCCATTCAATTTTTCTCCATGGCTTTTCCATCATATCACCAACATCTAAGGGAAAACAAAGAAAAATCTTTAAAATGAAAGTCAACTGGCTTCAAAAGAGAAATTCTTTTAAAAATTGTTTTAACTCACCTTCTACTCGGTATACTTCACATTCCGAAAGGACCTGGTCATTGCCATGTAAGTCTTCTGCAGAGAAGGTATAAGTGGCACTGCCAGCTTTTGTGGCTACTGCTGCACCATTTTCTGACAGGAATATCAGGGCACTGTCTCCAAAATTGGGACCATTTTGACTATGGTCATACACAGCCTGATTGGCAATTTTAACTGGGATTTTCAGAGGGCCGAGCTCCCCATTTTTCCCTTTCAGTCTGAAGAGGAAAGCTTTTCCGTCATTCAGATATCCCTCAGAGGAAGTGTAACTCTCAACGGTAAAGCCTCCAAAAATATAACCACTTCCATTGTATCCCACAACCACAGTTGGGCCCTGGCGGTTGCATATGCTGTGAAATGCATTAGCGTTATAGCCATGAACACTTCCTTTATAAAGAAGGCTAAACTGTTTGCTTCCCACCAAATAGGACAGACTCCTCTTCTCCTCTTTTGTCAGTCGGGATTGGACGTTAAACATTCTTAATCTGAAAAATTAAAAAGAACAACAAAGGTAGAAACTTTGGGGTTTACACATAGCTAAGTGATTTTGTATATACCAGCCACAGTCAGAATTCTTCGTGCTAAATACTGCAGCCACATTACAATTGTAGATACAAAAAGATGGTTTGAACAGGTATGGGAAGAGGCTCTTGTGGCAGAGCTTGTGAATCACATTCATCTCACAGAAAAGCTGGACAATTCCTTTCTGGTGATGGCTCATGGCTTTGCGGAGCCCTTGAACAGGGCAGCTGCAATGGACACCTTCCCTCCTGAGTTTATCTTCTGGTTACCACAGTGGCCAGCTGCTGCCCATCAGCCTCATCTTTGCTGCCAACCTCTTGCAAAAAGCTAAGGAGGAAACAGACAATGACACCTACTGTGCCTTCTTCACTCCCCCACCTTGTTTAGTCTCACTCAGAGACAACTGAACAAGTCTTTTTGTAAGAGTGAAGGGGAGAAAGAGGATTAGGTTGACAAGTTCCCTTACATGTGACAAGTTCCCTTACATGTCTGGTTTGCACAACCAGCAACCTACAGACACTGTACAAATCTGATGAATGCACAATTTCTATTTGCACACACAGTAATTCACCACAGTATAATGTTCACAAGCTAGGGACCTCAAGGGTCACTGAGTCCAATTCCCTGCCAAAGCTGGAATTCTACAGCTAAAGCATCTCTGAGAGATAGTCATCCAACCTCTATTGAAAAACTTCCAATGAAGGAAAGTCTACTACGATCCAAGGTAGCCTATCCCACTGTCAAGCTCCTCTTGCAGTCAGAAAGTTGTTCCTAATATTTAATCACAATCTCCTTCCTTGTAATTTGAATGCTTTTCACAATTTATTGAATGGAAAGCTTGCTACATTTACACAGAAAGATGGCAGAAAGGTAGAGATGTATTTCATGTATTGTTGATCTTTGCGGCCTCCATCAGATTCTTCCACGCACCTTTGAGAGTCACAGGGAATCCTTCCAACTCCCACTGTGCAGTGATAAAGGTGTGTGTGCTTTCCTTGCCAAGTGAAAAAGATGGCATGGGAACAGCACGGAAGTGAGGGGGCTGCTCTACCTCCTATCAGTTCGAAGGCTTCCACCACCATAATTTGGCCCTGCGGGTGTGGGTGGGTGTCCTACTGAATTACTGTATAAGACTGAAATCCCTTTAATTAAAAAAAATCTCATCCCAACTAAACATTATTCAACAGTGTGACACAACAGCGAAAAACAAAATCAAATGCATTATGTGGCCGAATCAACAGAACTATAGCATCCAGAACAAAGGAGATAACAAAACTCCTCTACTTTGTTCAGACACCACCTGGAATATTGTGGCTAGTTCTGTGAACCACAGTTTAAGAAGAATATGAATGTGCCAGAATGTATCCAGATAGAGGACAAAGATGGCGAAAGGTCTGAAAACTAAGCCCTATGAAGAATGGCTGAAGTAGTTGTATACGTTTAGCTTTGAAAAAGAAGGCTGAGAGATTACACAATAAGCATCTTTAAATACTTGGATCACTGCCACATGAGAGATGGCGCATGTATGTTTTCTTGTGGCTTTCAAAGGGAAGGCCTGAAAGCATGGATTGATATTAGAAAAAAGGAGATTTCTGCTAAACATCAAAAGGGACTTCTTGATGGCAAGAGCAATTGCCATCAATTTCATCAATTGCCCTCAAGTTCATGGAAGGAACTCCTTGAAAGCTGGTGGCCTCTCATTCGTTTGATGCTCTCTCTCTCTCTCTCTCTCTCACACACACACACACACACACAGAGAGAGAGAGAGAGAGAGAGAGAGAGAGAGAGAGAGAGAGAGAGAGAGAGAGAGAGAGAGAGAGAGAGAGAGAGAGAGAGAGAGAGAGAGAGAGAGCAAACAAAATCAAGAGCAGAACCTTCCTGTTTCGTTCTATGCAACGATTTACCCTCCCCCAGACGATTTTCTTCTTTTTTTAAACCCCTATGTAGCACAAGTATACGAAATTTTGAGCAAAGCAAAAAAGCAGATGAGGACAGTTAACGCATATGGGTGCAGTACATATGGATCCCGGGAGCTGCAAGCCAAAAAAAAAAAAAGTAACTTTCTCCGGCCGTGCCTTAGACGTGGAAGGAGACTTTTTCTCCTTCGCCTTCCGCTCGGCTGCCCTCGCCCTCCTCTCGCCCACACACCTAGGAACCGCCACGGCGTTTTAACACGGATGCGCAGCCGGACATCCCTTGCTCACTTCCCGAGGCTCTCTGGAGGTTTTAAGCCCTTCTGCCCCTCCCCAAGCCTAGGCTCGCCTCTAACACGGGTAGGGTATCTTTACCTTCGAATCAGCCACCCGTCGCCCTTCGCTAGTCTCTTACAAGCGCTTCCCTCTACTCTCAGGGAAGCAGAAAGCGAAAGGGAAAGAGGAACAAAAGCTTGAGGAACAAAAGCGAACGCCTGTGTGCTTTCCGGGAGTGGTCCAGAATTAGGACCGTTTGGACTGAGATCTTACGTAGCCCGACGGGCAACTTTGGGATTTTCAGCGGGCAGAGATTCAGGCGAACGCTGGCAACAAGTCTGCCAGCAAATTAAACACAGAGAAACGAATCTTCATTTTGGAAAGTCTTTCCGTTGATCACTAGTATCTGGACTGTAATCTACTGAAAGCCTATTGTCTGAGAATTTATTGGAAATCTTTCTGCATACTCTTTCTTCAACAATTCCCTCTCTTCGTGCTATACTCCCGCAAGTCTACAGGAATATAACTTGCTAGATATAAGACAGAAATGCACTGTGTCACTGCATGGGTCTCCTGTCTATAAAACCCTGGAAGTTCCATATGGTCTGCCTATACAATCTGAAATCATGGCTAAGTAATAGTTTTATTGAATCACTAAAACTGTAAAAAAAAAGAGCAAGCTTCCAAGGCCCACAAGATTCTCCTTCAGTTGGTCACTGCAGAATTTGGTGAAGGAAAAATCCTCACCTCTGCAGATGCATATTAACATGTCACCTTTTAATGATATTGTAGTGGTCTAATATCTAAGAGCAAGTTTGCTGGGTAAATCCATATTTGGGGAAAGGGGTTGTTAACACTCATCTCACAGCTGCCCAAGCTGTAACCATAAGACAGCAACCAGACTCCTGACTTCCATCTAAGAGACCAGCCTGGGGAACCCCATCTTGCCAAGAACTGCTCAACTTAATATCTAAGAGCAACTTTCTGACTAAATCCATCTTGTCATGTATGTTTAGATTTTTTTAAATTTTAGACATTAAGTTCTTCACACTGAAACAAGCCTGACAAAGTGGTGTTTTAATCCATGAAATCTCGTTTATTGTATGGTTCTGAGCAACAGGTCAACTCTTTCATGCCATTTTCTATGCATTGTGACATTTACAAAATACAAAGTCCACCTTTACTTATATAGGACTTGGCTTCTTCCTTGCTGAAAGCAAGCATATCCAACAATAAAGTCTGTCTCTGCCTGCTTGTTTTTGATGTCATAAAGAGACAGAAATGTGGTCAGGGTTTTTAACAAAACTTTGTTCCCTTGTTCTTCCTTTTATTTCCTGGTTTGATGGCAGAATTTAGCAGTGGGAGACTAAAGGGGCAAGAAAAAGTTAACCCCTTGAGGGCTGGTGAGTTAAAGGAAGTTTCATTAGTGCCTTGTATCAGCATTTCTATCTGTAATTTATCACCACCTTGTTTTCATAATGCCTGTTAATCTGTTGGGCATTCTCCAGCTATGCACACCAGTTTTCCTTAGAAGGCTGGGTGCTTTTTAAAAGCACAGGGTGGCCTTTCAGGGCTTTAGATTCAGATGACACCGTCTTACTGGGGGAAAGCAGCACTGACTTGAAATGACTTTTAGGGCAAGTGAAAGAAGAAAGTACCAAAGCAGGACTACAGTTGAATGTTAAGAAGACAAAAATCATGATGACTGCAAAAGAATTACTGTACATAACTTTACTCTTGACAATGAAGAAACTGAAATAGTCAGAAATTTTGCATACCTTTGTTCTATCAGTCCACATGGAGACTGCAGACAACACACCAGAAGAACATTGAGACTAGGACGGGCAGCAATGGAGGAATTAGCAAATATTATCAAGTGTGTCACTGGCAACCAAGACCAAGACCATCCCCAGTCTTATCTTTCCAGTTACCAAGTATGAATGTGAAAGCTGAACAATTAAGAAAGCTGCCAGGAATATAAAAGGATTTGTTTGAAATGTAGTGCTGGAGAAGAGTTTTGCAGATACTCTGGACTGCCAGAGGGATGAACAAGTGGGTCCCAGAGCAAATCAATCCTGAAATATCTCTGGAGGCAAAAAATGTTGAAACTGAGGCTGTCCTACTTTGGGCACGTTATGAAATTCTCTGGAAAAGAAATAATGCAGGGAAAAGTGGAAGGCAGCAGGGAAAGAGGAAGAGCAAATATAAGATGGACTGACTCTCTAGAGGAAGCCACAGGCTTGAATTTATGAGAGCTCAACAAGGCAATTGAAGACAGAATAGTTTGGAAATTGCTCGTTCATAGGGTTGCCATAAGTCAGAGGAGACTTGATGGCACATACTGTAACAACAACAGCTGAGTGGGTTGGATCCAGGGTTTGAATCTCCATTGTGATCCCCAAAGAAGGGACCAGTTGAGATCACCTGGATTGTATGTGGCTGATAGCACTTTGTACCCTGCAAGCTACATAGACCACCACCAGAATGAGGGACTAATCATAATCTTAAAAGTGCACAGCTTGAAAGGACCCCATGGATCACTGAGTCCTAGCAAACCACTGTTGAGTACTTAATATCTAGAAAGCCTTGAAGGGTTACCTCTTGCCACAGTCACCTTGACAATATACAACAAATTAATTAGCAGAGACACTCTGAGGAAAACCTTTCTTTTTGCTGCTGGATGCCACATAGTGCTGACAGTGAAACTGAACTGCTGACAGTGGCCAAGTGGAAATATGTCTGCTGTACAAGACCCTCCTTCACAAAGCTTGTAGAAAGGACCATCGGTTAAGGTGTTGCCCTTATAGATGACCCCATTTTATGCAAATTCCAGGGTCTGGTTAGCTCTGTAAAGATGGATCAGGACCACATCTGTGAATTGGCTAGGGTGGGTTCTCTCAGTCACCTTCCTTCCCAACTCTCAAGTTGAGGAGAGTAAAGTTCTAAGCAGGTTCACCCGCCAAGCATGCTGGGAACTTGGCCAACTTTCTTAGTGGATGGAACAGCTCTGGGGAAAGTAGTGCTGTGATCTAAATCAGTGGTTCTTAACCTTTGTTACTCAGATGCTTTTGAACTGCAACTCCCAGAAACCCCAGTCAGCACAGCAGGTGGTGAAGGCTTCTGGGAGTTGCAGTCCAAAACTCCTGAGTAACCCAAGGTTAAGAACCAGTGATCTAAATAACTGGTTGGGGAGACGAAGGATAGCTCTGTGTGAGAGACATAGTGGGGATCCTAGTAGCCTCTTGTCCCTGAGGTGAAAAAAGAAAATTTGAACTCCACATATAAACAGATGGTTCAAAAAAGTATGGGATGTGGCTTTCATAACAAAGTTAATGAATTATATCCATCTCAAATAAAAGTACCAGATGCAATCACCAGTGCCAGCAGGACTGTAGAACAAAGCACCTCCAAGCAGCTCATACCCCCTCCCCCAAATGGCTTCACCTCATCACCTTCTACTGTTGGTCATCATCAATACCACCTGCATGCTTGCTAGGCCAAAAGCCAGTGAACAAACTGGCAGTGCCTCTACTGCTCCTCCTTCACAATATGTACCTCCATCACTGTCTAGCCCAGAGCAGGGGGTGCTCTGGTGTTTACATTTCATTAGGCCAGTGGTCCCCAACCTTGGGCCTCCAGATGTTCTTGGACTACACCTCCCAGAAGCCTTCACAACCACTCTGCTGACCAGGATTTCTGGGAGTTGAAGTCCAAGAACATCTGGAGGCCCAAGGTTGGGGAACACTGCATTAGGCAACCCACTTGCCCAATAACAATTTATTTTCCCAAATGACAACTCAGCCATCAAATTCAGTCACCACTGCCACAACCGAAGGCAAATCCAAACTGCCAAAATGGATGCAACAAGCAAAGTGATACCTGCCAGAATAATAGGTGAAAATGCATGTTCCAATGGTGGAGCAGATGAACCAATCCAGGTGACCTTGTCAGTGACCTTTACTGCCATGTGGGGTTCTAGCAAGTTCCCCATCATGTCATTCACCTGATAATGTCAACTTTGTTATAAAAATCCTATTATTTCCAAATGCATACCTGTATATTATGTTATCCTGATAGCAATACTGTAATTACATACTGTCAAGTCAATTCTAGCTGTTTCCAGGATTTTCCAAGTACAGTATAGAGCAGTGGTGTCGAACTGTGGCCCTCCAGATGTTCTTGGCCTTCAACTCCCAGAAATCCTGGCCAGCAGAGGTGGTGGTGAAGGCTTCTGGGAGTTGAAGTCCAAGAAC